TCTTTGTGTATTTGTGAGTACTTCAGCCTGAACCATTTTTCATCTTTGATTCTTCATTTTAACATAGTAATTACTGGATTGTCATCACTTTCTGTCTAGGAATGGATAAAATTTTACTTAATTTCTCTTCCCTTGGTAATTGAATTTTAAAGTGAAACACTTAACTCACTCAACATCTGACTGACAGGTCTCCGGAGTTAACTCTCCAAGGACAAATGTCAAATTCAACTTTTTAGATTTGTGTTGCCAGCTATTACTTCCCATAGGCGTACGAACCATGGGGGCAATCTGACTTTTCGAAGAGACGGGTAAGGTGAAAGCAGAAATTTTTATTTCATCTAGTTGGCAAAATAAAGTGCCCCAAGTCTAATAAAACACTAAATTTACTTTTCTTTTAATTGACTACCACAAATTTGTACTGAATTAACTATGAATTTAAACATTTTGTCTGGAACCACTCTACTTTGTGCGACATTTTTGGGCATTGATTATTATTTGTTTATGCAGCTACAGCAGTTCGATTGTATGGTTGGAATTCAAGAGGGCATAGAGTGGGATTTCGGTTGCAAAACGATTGGAAACTTTGAAGTTGCTTAATTCACGGGCTAGAATAGCAGAAAAACCCACTTGCAGCGGTTAAATTTTCAAAATTTTCTTGGGGAGCTCGAGGCCCCCGTGCCTTGTGACATTTGATTGGTTGTTTGGGATTCAGCTCAGCTCAGCCACCTGTATTAGACCACATTGCAATTGCTGTTTTCTCAGGCTGGAATAACAGGAAGACACGTTTGCAGCTGTTAAATTTTCAAAATTTTCTCCTGGCGGTCCCGTATTAGACTACTTGCTGTATTCACAGGCTGGAATAGCAGGAAAACGTGTTTGCCGTCAAATTTTCCAAATTTTCTTTGGTGGGGTGGGGGCCCCTAGATGCCTGTAACCTGAATTTTTTTCGTGCATTCATTCAGCCCGTTCACCTATGATATTTCCTGTGCATGTATATTATTCTGCTTGAAATTTCTATGCATTGTTCAGTTAATGAAATGAAAAAGCCTATTGAATTTCAACTATTTCATTGATTGCTTTTAGTTTAGGGACATGTTACAACTAAGTGTTATTTGAAATAGCTTTGGCACCGATCTTGCAGAAACTTTTGTCATTGACGATAATGTGCTCAACCCTCTCATGAGAGATGCCCACAACACTGGCAATATGTTGAGTCTATGATTCATTCATTCAATATTTTACAGTAATCCATTCTTGCTTGAACAGGTAACTCTTATTTCTGTGAAATGTTCCTTTATGTGGTCTATTTCTTTAAAAAGTTCTTAGCAGGAAATAACAGTTATAGTTGCACACGACAACATGCAAGCCACCAATTGAAGATGCATTGGAATTTCAACTTTCGTTTGAAATATAGTAAAGTGGTACGTATGTAATCAGCAGACTGATTAAAGCATTTTGGAATTGTGCCTTCTCGGTGACGGGAGCTTTACTTTCCAGGTTTGATGGAGGTTATAGTAAATTCTTTTTTTTATCTCATCTATATTTTATTCAGATGGTTTTTCAGTGATAGTTAATTTGTATTTGTAATGTTTTGGGAAATAGCCACAGTGCTTTAGTCAAAAGTCTTAAAAAAATTAATAATAAAATTGAAATGTGTTTTTGATGTAGTGACCTTGCAAATGGATTGTGAGGATATTAACTTGAACTCAAATGAGCTTGCTGAATCAACAAATTAATTTTACTAGTTAAATTTTGTTTGTTCCTTGGTGTGTTCTGCTGCCATCATTGCCACAAAAGAGCACAAGTGTGGCAAAATGAACATTTGCTTTGTCTAATATTATGATTTGATGTTGTAATTAAAACTCTGAGATAATATTAAAATATTTACAGTAGAACTGATCTTTCTGATGTAAATTAAATGTTATTGATCAAGAAATTTGACTTGTTACCCATTAACTCCATTTCCTTAATCACGTTTTTCAAGGGAAGTAAATCCGCTAAATGAAAGTAGATTTTATTATGACCTTACATCACCTTCGATAAGTAGCGTCTTCAGCTATAAATAAAATAGGACACACAATAATAAAAATACCACAATTTTATTTTCAGTAACACATAAGGAGATAAGAAATAATGTTTTGATGATTCTATTGACTGCTGTTCGTCTTGAAATTGATTAGCAGCATTGTACCTGGGTTTAAAATTAATAATATGTGTAGCATCACTAGCATGCCATACCAAAATTCATGGTATAGTAGTCTTGGTCAACTAGCGACTCTAAGACAAGTGTTCCCAAACCCGATATTTGTCGAGAAAGCATAGATAAAATACTTCTGGGAAGAGACTTGATTTCAGAGGCATTTTGATGTCACTTGAATGGTTATTGTAGAGCATTTTCCGACACTTCCAAACTAGAATTAATAGCATTTATGATGATAATTACACATATATAATGGTATTAAATGTTACTACTGTAAATAAACAGTTGAAGAAGGATGAATGTTTTAAATAAAAATACAAAAATAAATTAGTGATATTAATCTTTTTACCGGCACAACTTTAAACAACCATAGAACTCGATTTAATAAACATTCAACATTACCAGTTCAACATTTAGTATCAAATCAATGATATTGAAATTCTAACAAGAGTATAGATTAAGTACAGTGTGTTTTGAATAACCTATTATTGTGTTATTCCGGAAGACCCACTCCCCATTGATCATGTATAAATCAACCGACACAAGGTTATGTGAACCTTATCATTCGTATTCATTTTATTTATGGTGTATTGATCACATTTGATGATACACATTAGTGCTGTAATAATTGTGGATTTATTTCAACAAGATCTGCACACAGGTTTCTTAACGTTTCACTTCTGGTATCTGAAATTTATTTGCTGTTGCCTAATTAAAGGTTACCTGTAATTACTGCAGGTTGAGAAAAATGTTCATTTGAGGAGTCAATATAAACTTACAGATATATTTCTTGAACCCTAGAAATCCCAAATACATAACCATTGGTTGAAAAGTGCACTCAAATTAATGATAAAGATATATTTGTTGCTAAAAACTTGATATCTTTAAATTTGGAATAATATAAATAATAATGCAGGTGCCATTATAGATAGCACATCATTTTAATGAGTGGATGAGTGCTTTAGCATGAGAGCAGTGTGATAATACTACATTTTGATATTGAAATGCCCAAATAGTGTTTAATTGTTAATTAAAATATTAATTAACTTAATTGATTTATTGTGGGCCTATCTGTGTGTGTTTTCCTGGTAATACTAATGTGCGACGACAGCATACATTGATATTCAAATAGTTTGAAATAATTTATGCAATATATACACAGAATGATACTTTTAGATACAAGTCAGTTTTGTGGGTCAAATCGATGACTTAATTATGCTTGAATGATTTGAATATTTTAAAGAATGATTACTGGAGATGGCAGAATAAAAGAAAGTGTAGAAAGATTAATGGTCACAGCCTTAATTTGAATATAGCTAGAAAATTTATCATTGCTGAAGCAACAGTAACAGGCATTATGGATTATGAGCTAATTAAGCTCTTAATATATCTTGGCTCCCTTCTACATACATGTAGTTCAAATAATTGTGGGTTTTAAACAGTGAAATTTGTGGATACGAAATTAAAACCTCAAATAATATTTGAAGAATCTACAAATATAAGATTACAGCTCAATTTTTATTATTAAAAAATGTGTGTAACAAAATTATGGTTATATGGTACAATATTCATTGTGCTTGATTTTATTATTTTACTGTTACTATGCCATCTAATCCAAAATGTCAGTGATATAATATACAGATAAATTCATGCTTTTGTTTTATGTCTTTATTTTGAAACTGATTTTAAAGTGTTGGATTTAATATCGTAACACTGACTAGAAGAAATGTTTAACCCAATTGATATGCTTTGGAGGTAACACTGTAATATTGATGTATGTAGCTGTCATATATTGACATTTTAACCTGCAGCAGTTAAAGTGGAAAAATTCTAAGAAAATACATGCATATGCTACAAGGGGGGTTGGATGGCTTAATGGTTAGCATGTGCGCGCTGTATCATAAAGTCTGGCGTGGTTTCAATTCCTCGGTCGTACGTGACAAGGAGTAGGGTCGCCTGTCCAACCTCATGGGTTTTCTCCGGGTCCCCCGGTTTCCTCGCACTGCTAAAGACCCTTCGTGCAAGCTAATTATGTCGAATGAACGTTAAACCCCATTTCTCTCTCTCCCTGCATATGCTACAATTGTTACTTCTAGTTTTTGTAAGCATACACACCCACAATCTATATGCCCCAGGATGCCTTGTGAAATTTACAACACTATTGGCATAAGTTAATTAAAACATTTGATGACCCCATCTCTATCCCTGAAACATCATTGGGTTAAAGCCTTGACTCATAATTATCAGGCAGGGAAGCTGTAGGGCTTTAGAGGTACAAATTAATTGGAAATACAACATTTAAGTGAATCTTTTTAAAATCATTATCATATCAAAAGTATTCTTAAAAATGCTACATGTAAGTGTCACTTTAAACAGTGAATGACTTTTACACACTTCCCTTTAATTACGTCTTAGATAAACTGTTTTAACATTAAACAAGACTTGTTTATGTCACTGTAGAATTTAATGATTAATTGGAAATTATCAACGTTGTATGAAATGTATGAACTATTAAATGCAGCTTCATGAGGATCTTTACCTTTTAAATTATTAATGTACAGAATTTTGCAAATCTAGAACAGATTCATTGTTGAAATATTTTCAGAAAAAAAAAATGAATTGTGATGTCCTTGAAGAAAGTCTGGGTGTTATCACTTTAAATCTTGTGTTGTCAATATAAAGTGTAAATTAAGTTATTTCTCTGTTTTATGTTATATGTAGATTGTATATGTTTTATTCTGTGCAATTTGTACTGTTATCTATTACCTAGTTTAAATTGGTGTATTTCGAAATATTTCAGTCACAAGCTAGAAGTATTGCTGGATGATGATACAACTGCAAGAAAAAACAGAGATCGACAATATTTATCTAAAGTAATCATGTAAGTTTGTCAATAATTTAATATGGACCATATAAGCTGCAATATGTTGATCCACTGATCATATTAGACTTTCAACATACACATTCTCCTGCACAACTGAGAATTACTGGCAGGATTGAATGATTGTTTTAATAACATTTAGTTATTGACGAGCATCAATTTAATCAAAATCAGGGCCGGATTAAAGGGTGTATGAGGAGGCTGACTGGGCTGCAGACAGTGGCCCCCAAATTAGAGTTAACAAATATTTTACACCATAAATATGTCATTTATTATGTTTTATATGTTTGTACAAAATCAATCTATCTACATGTATCTACCATGCTGACATACAAATTGCATTTGTGTGAGTGTGATGGACAATAACCAGAATATGCCTCATTTTCACTGTTGATGCAAGGGCCTCATTGAAATAACTGTATGGAATAATAGTTACTTAACTTTTAGCTAGTTGAAACATCAATGTCATAAGAGATAATTAATTATGGCGTCCCCTTGCATGTTTACATCGATTTTAGTACACTGTATCCAAAGATTCAAAGACTGTATTTCATAAGCCGTTTATTGACTCAACTTTACTGATTGTTGAAGATGGAAACATCTTCTGTAAGACTAATTTGTGTAACTTGTACTTAGCTTGGGTAATTTGCTTCTGCAAAACTTTAAGGTTCATTATAAGCCCATGAAGGTGTGAAATTTGTTATGTCTACAGCTGGTGATAATAAAGAATTATTAGACTGTTGAAGGTATTTCCTCAGGACTTAAAATACAAATTAATGTCTTCATTGTTACATGAATTCAAATCATTTCCAATCGTAATTGGACACTTAAAGAGAATCTATTGTTGTTATTCCCAGCATGAGCATCAAGGAGAAATGCTGAGGGCCTCAGTCCTGAAATTAAATGTCTGAGAGCAGATTAGAATAAATATTGCATGGTTTAAGAGTTGTTTCCCTTTGTATTGGAAATCAACAGCTTACTTGTTCAGGAATTCATTTACATATTGATGTTAACACCTAGACATTGTGGAAGTTGGTATTTAATTGATTTAAATGTTACTGCCTAATTGGACTATCAAAATTTGATAGTAAATGATCTCTAAAATCAGTTAATTCAGACTTTTTATTTGCAGACTCCAACGAGCTTGGAAATCACACTTAGCAAGAAAACATTTAAACGAAGGTTACTTCGAGGAAACCAGTGATACAGAGAGTGCAAAGGGATTTGACGTAGCAAGTCTTTCTACACCTGAAGAAAATCAGCATGCAGACACACTTAAATCAGAAAAATTTCATCCATTCCGGGATAAAAAATCGCCAATGAAACAGCTGTTAGACGCTGAATCGGAATCAATTTCATCCGATTATTCTGAAGTAAACGGAGCTCTTCAAGACATTGTTGATTGTGAACTAGACATTATCAATAAGGAAGACCTCCATAATACATCACTGGACATAACAGCAATTACTACACCAAACAAATCCAATTTTATGCAGCGTCTGCCTGGTGAAACAGATGAAAATTTCTCTAAAAGAATCAAGAAAATAAACTATTTGAATCTTGCTCAAGAATTTGCTGAATTGAAAAAGAAAAATGCAGATGCTTCCCCTTATGAAATTCACATGAAAACTACAGCAAGTCAGCAAAATAGCACAGTGGGTAAAAAGGATGCAGTTGATGGCAACTTAGTGGATCTGAAACCACCGATAATTAACATTAATGAAGATACATGTAGTAGTAATATGGGTCTCAAAAAGAAATTGGAAAAAGATAAATTTGAAACAGAAAATAAAATGTCAGAATCAGGTGATTTTGAAGTGTATAATATTGAGACTGCACTTCCACCAATTGATTGGGAAACAATAGAACAACAGATACAACTTGCAGCAAATGCGGCAACTGAAAAAAAAAATGAGGTGAGTTTTGTATTCTTTTATTGAAATGCCAATTTAAACCCATCTTGGTCCTACACTTGGTCAACTCCTGTTATGGCTACCCTCATTCAAGATGATCAAAATAATACTTGCCAACAGCTACAGGAGGCCAGACTTTCTTTTTTTTTGAATTCTAATATGGTTACCGGTACATGTTATGCCTGATTGTATATTATTACATGTATAATTAATATTTTTATACGTCCACACTGTCACCCACTTGAAGATTTCATCTGATTGACTTAAAAGTTATACACAGTTCTTATGTACATGAGATAAATAAGCCAATCGATTTTCATTATGTAAGAGCTACATTTACCTGTGGCATGTCTTTCTTTAGGCCCCAGATGTTTTTTAAATTATTAGTTAGACATTTATTCACATGACCAGTACAAAATAAACTCTCTAGATCATCGGATGGTCGCGATTTTTAATGGAGTGAAGCACGATCACCATTTAATAATTAAATTTAGAAATGGATAATCAAGACTTTCTTTATTGTCCCCCACCTTTCGAAGAAAGCAGGGGACTATTAAAATGGGTTTGTCTGTCTGTCTGTCTGTCCATCCGTCCGTCTGTCCATCACACTTTTTGGGACACAATAACTCTCTTTCTAATTGAGCTAGAATGTTCAAACTTGGTGTAGGTGTTTATTAGGTCAATGCCTTGATGGAGTTTGAAGTTGAGCATTTTCTGATTAGGATAAGCAGAGCGATAAACAATAACTCTTTTTCTAATTGAGTTAGAATATTCACACTTGATGTAGCTGTCTATTAGGTGAATGCCTTGATGGAGTTCGAAGATGAGAGTTTTCTGCTTAGGGTAAGCAGAGATAAGCAATTTGATTGGTTGATGCTTTGGGACACGAGTGAGAATGGGGACACTTGGTGTTTAGCTTTATTACATCAATACCTTGACTAAGTTCGATAATGAAAATATTCTGCTGAGGGTAAGCAGAGCGATAAGCAATTTGATTGGTCGAGACTTTGGAACACAATAACTCTCCTAATTAAGGTAGAATGTTCAAACTTGGTGTAGGCGTTCATTAGATGAACATTGTCTGCTTACGGTAAGCAGAGATAAGCAATCTGATTGGTTGATGCTTTGGGGCACGATAACTTTGGTTATAATGAAGTGAGAGCGATGAAACTCGGAATATAGATTCATTATATCATTACCTTGACTTAGTTAGATGGTGAGAATTTTCGGCTTAGGCTAAGGAGCGATAAGCAATTTGATTGGTCAAGACTTTGAGGTAGAATGGTTAAACTTGATGTAGATGTTCATTAGGTGAATGTCTTGACTGAGTTCAATGATTAACATTTCGAGGTGAAGCTAAGCAGAACTAATCAATTTCATTGGTCGATGCTTTCGGACAAGATAATCTTGATTCTTTCTGGTAGAGAGGGATGAAACTTAGTGTACAGTTTGATTGCCCGATACTTTTGAAAAAAATAAATATGCAATTAATTAATATGTCATCTATTTATTTTGGGATTTCGACGGGGGACATCAGCCTCACTGTTGGCTTGTTATTGTAAAAATGGTAGCAATAGAAATCGAGACAGCACTTTTCTTATCAAAACTTCCAACATTTATAACTTCGCTCAGAATTATGTAATTTGACTGAAGTGTCAATATATTCACTTTTCATTATCTATTTTTAAACTATTATATTTAAACTATATATCAGCTCTTTATCTAAATCTTACATATTGCATATTTAATTCGATAGCATTAGCAGACACATTGATTTAATGACTGTCTAAATAATATTATGTATAGTAGTTTTATTTTTGTTGAAGGTTTCATTAGGAATTACGCTACATAGAAAAATAGTTGATCACCATGCCAGTCTTAGCTAAAGTTTAAAATTTCCAACAGTTATCAAGGCAAATTTTAAGCCACTGAATAATGCGAACCACCATAACCAATGGATATTGTGAGCCAAGTTATTTTAAAGTTTCTAGATTATGGCTCCTGATTGAACGAAAAATCACATTTTTAGCTTGTGGTCCATGTGTGAAATAGCTTTATTTTAACGCCCGCTTCCACCGAAGTGATATCGTAGACAATCGTGTGATCCATCTAGAGGTCACAATTTATATCTGATTTAAAAAAACATTCGAATATTTCACCATTACACCATAATGATAGTTGAAGTCGAATTTCGTGAAAATCGGACCAAAACTGCCGGACAAAATGGCTGCTTCCTGTACGCAAATAGTGTTAAAGTATGTACATGTAATATCAAGGTTGTGGACCGTCTAGAAGAGGTCACAATTATTATTTGATTTTGATGAAACTTAAAACATGTGTTTATATCCCAAAGATCTTGGTTCCTTTTGATATTCGCACATATTGGACTGTAAATTCCTGGCCTCTGATTGTACAAAAAAATCACGATTTTATCTGGTTTTAAAAATCATTTATATATATCATCGTTACACGCTGATAATGGTTGCGTTCGAAATTTCGTAAAAATCGGATAGAAACTGCCCTACAAAATTGCCACTCCTTGTATAAAAATTGTGTAAAGTTATGTAATACAAAGGTTGTGGACCATCTAGAGGTCACAATTTTTGTCCGATCTTGATGAAACTTAAAATATATCTTTATATCCTGAAGATCCCAGTCCCTTCCGATATACATGCATTTCAGACCATAATTGCCTGGATTATGACGTTTGATTCTACAAAAAATCGTGTGTTTTTTTCTTTACCTTGTTTTCTATCCATCCCTTGCAAATTGTGTGTGTATTTTGCCTGACAACCTCTGGTTTCATGACGTCAAACCTCTAGGTCACGAAAAAGTTAATTATCAATATTTGCGATAATTACTGTATTGGTTGTAACTTGTAACTGTTAATCAATTTTTAGTGTCTTGTGCATGGTACTATCATCTACACAAAAATGTATGGGACAACTAATAACTTGTGTGAACTTTTCAAACATCTTAGCTGCTGTTTGCAAATTCTTTTTGCTTGCCAACCTATCTTTTGATTTTTTATCATTTTTAGCTGTACATGGGAGATAACTCTTTTAACATGCATTTTGCGAGTCTTGTCATAATTGAAGCTTTATATTTAGTATTGACACTTAGTATTATGGCACACTCAAGCCTTGAAATAACTGAACTGATTTTCGGCCGGACATTTCAGATTTTCAGCCTGACAAATACTTTATAAAGTATATTAAACCAAAAAACTGTTGAAATTTACTATGTTTATATATTAATATACATACATTTATCAATAAAATAAATTGATGACTCACATACAACCTGGAGTTTTAAGTTTTTATATGTATATGGAATACAACTTTGTAGTTCATATAATAATGTAATTAATCTCTTTGGTGGGGGTGGGGACTAAATCCTAAAAACTCTGATTAAGATTCAAGTTTAACTAAAGAATAGACATCTTGAGTTGTCGAAAATAGTTCAGAATCTGCCAAGTAATTTTTGATCCACTTTTCTATGGTTCGTTTTTGTAATTTTCGAACTGGTGACAGCGACGGCCCCCGTTTAGAAGTGTCTTAATGAGAGACATAAGACACAGTACCAGTCTTTGAATTTTCTGGAAAGGTCCCACTAGCCGGGATATCCGTGTCCAAGGGGTTGGGAAAAGTAAGAAGTTATTTTATTCGACATGTTTTCACGGCTCTTCTATTTACATTCACATCGGAAGTGTCCAACAAAGTGAGATATTTTAGTATAAAAAGTCTGTCCCTAATTACATCCATAGTCAACTTGAACATTTTCTTGTAAACTAATTTTAAAATATTATTACTTCTATTACTAATAATTTATATAATTACATGTCATGTTAGGTGTGATTTAGAGCTAATCATATACGAAAGTAACGCAAAGCTAGCTATGAGACTCGAATAACCAGTGTAAAAGAGCCGATTCTCAATATTATTCATTATTTTATCTTCACGCGGCCGAGAGAGATACATGTATAAAATGTAATATTTTTACTATGACTCGGGTCGTTGATATAACCAGCGTAAAAGAGTCGATTCTAAAAATTATTGAAGATTTTATCTACACGCGGCCGAGATATAAATAGTAACATTTTCACTATGACTTGGGTCATTGATATTTTTGGTCCTGGACTTTCGAGTCTAATAATAAATAGCGATCTACTCGAATATTTTTTACTTAATGTTTTACAAAAACACGGTCGGACAATTATGTCTGGACGAAAGGCAATTTGGCCTGTCAAAAGGGGTCAATTCGCCCGGAAATTGTCCGTGTCCGGACGCTTATTTCAGCGCTTGGGCACACTGTATTCCCAGAGACTTTCGTTTAATTAGTTTATGGTTATTAAGAGTTGTAATAATGATCCAATTAACTTCTATATCCTTCCATAATTATTCCTGGTGTTTTTGTTTACATTGTTGATTAGACGTTGTATGTTACTTTTCTGAAAGACTGCTTTATTGATTATTAGAGATAAGAGAACATGGTTATTTACAGGTTCAGAAAAAAAGAAAGAGAAAGAACGACTTTTTGTCATTTGTTACTAGCACCATATAATTACTAATATTTCTGAGTATCCTGATAATTGAATTTATATTATGTGACCTTAGTTCAAAATTTAATAGTCGGAACACTGAATTACTAGTGAAAGTCCTTTGGTATTGAATTATTCTTTATTTAAATGACCTTTATCATTAAGAAACAAAATTTTATGAGTAGTTCATACTGTAATATTGATTATGGACTTAAACAGGCATTATGCTATACTGTATCCTGGAAAAAGATAAGTGATGATTGAAATTTAATATTTGGAAATCAAAGACTACAAAGTAATCTATAATCCCTAATCAAATAACATAACAGACAACTAAACAAACAAAACCAAATTTGGACAGTCAGAAATCAGAGTATATCTCTTGTTAATACATAACAGACAACTAAACAAACAAAACCAAATTTGGACAGTCAGAAATCAGAGTATATCTCTTGTTAAGATT